CGGGCCCCAGCCTGGGAGAGTCAATGTCAGCAGGTCTGGAGCGTCCTGGGAATCCACATTCAGGACGGCGGTGTCACGGGATTCCGAGGTACTGCCGCTTCGGCAACCTCTGGTCCGATCCCACCCTCCAGCACCCAGGGGAGAAGGCTAAGGGAGCAAGACCGGGGATCCAGTAAGGTCATCTGCCCAGGACAGCCTGGGAGAGCGAAGCGAAGGGGGACAGAACCGCAGGCCTGATGTCCAGCCTGGGGCTCCCCCCACCTCTCTCAGGTAGGAAGCTAACAGAAACCCGGCCTTCCTGCTACCTGTCACGCCTCCTCGAGTCAACTAGCAAAGGGGACCAGTGAAGGGGAGACTTTCGAAGCCGGGTAGGGCCTGCCGGGCTAGGAAAGGAAAACCAGTAACATAGTTAACGAGGCAGAGACGTCACTGGGATCTCCACAGAGAGCTAACTTAGTGCCTGGCTAACGCAAGCAATTCCCACAGCACTGTGACGTAGGCACCATTGCTGTGTCCGTTTTACAGACGAGCAAACCGACACAGCGACCTGCCCACGGTGAGCAGAGCTGGGCCTTACCCAGGCGGTGTGATCCCAGTCCGAGGTGCTTCTCACCGCTGCTCTGTCCCACCTGGGAAGTACCCCGTTTGAGGCAGGTGTGGGCGCGTTGGGTCTCACGTTATCTTTGCACACCAGCTCTGCTGCGCGACTCCCACGTGGAAAGTCCCACGGTGCCTCATGCAGCTTGAACACAGAGGGCCCCACGCTTCCAAGGGCCTCAGAATCCCATAGCTTGCTGGGCTCCCCACTCCCGGAACACTGCTCCTGAAGCCTGGGGGGGCAGCCAGCTCCCAGGGATGCTGCTGCTGCAGGTGGGGGTCCCCCGTGGAGGGACCCTGGCCCAGCACACAGTGGGTGCTCTGTGGCAGTCAGGTGTGGGCCACTGCAGGCGCCTCGCAGACTTTCTAAAGCCTGTCTGGCTGTCTGACCTCAGGGATTTAGCAAAGCTCTCAGACCAAGACTCGGCTCCGAGGTTTAACGGCTCCAGACTTTCCGACCGGCCCAGCCCAGAGGCCTGAAGCGTCTGGGTCCCTGGGGCTCAGCTGGGGCACACAGACAGGTTCAGAAATATTTCTGGAAAGAAAACCCACCGCTGAGGAGGAAAATACGACAGCATTTGGGCCGTTTCGGTGTAAAGCAATGAAAAACATCTGAATCAAATTGCCTTTAAAATTACGCCATTTTAAAAATTAAAGGGGAAAAAAAGCTCTGGGCCAAAATGTGTTTTTAAAAGATTTATGGCCTCCAAAATGTTGGCACCGCAGCCAAAGTCGCCGGGGAAGGACCCACCAGCCTCGGCTTCTGCCGTCTGCTCTCCAGAGTCGCTCCCACCAGACAAGTGATTCACTGAGCCTTCCCCCAGTTTGACCACAGCCCTGCTTCGCCTTCCTGCTACCACCCTGTTCTGCTGTGGGCTCAGAGAGGTAGCGGCTCTGAGCAGAAACGCCCAGCCCCCAGCGTGTCCAGCCTCGTGACACTCAAGGGAGGTCAAGCAACAGAGGCCAGTCAAGCCACGTGACTTTTCAGGTCCCTCTGCAAATAAGTCCCAGCCTCGAATCTCAAAGTCACAAAGAGCAGGTGCCATTAGCCTACTGGACAGATGAGTGACTTTCCGCTGCTGGAGCAGAGGCTGGACCATTACCACTGAGTCTCAGTGGGCTGGGCTTTAAGTCCCAGATCACCCATAAGGAGTCTAAAATCACAATTTAAAGCAAGAACTGAAAGACTCTCACCAGGTGGCAAAGAAGAGCCGGAGCCTCAGTTCTCTGTTACAGCAGCCCGTGGCCTTGGGCAAGTCCCTTCCCTAGCTGGTCGCTGTCTCTTTTACAAAAGTCTCCAAGCACTCATGAAATAGACGTCCCTGCCACTCCAGCCTAGCACCCGGCAGTTCCGTGAGCTGGGAGAAGTTCACCAGCAGGAGACAGCCGGAGCAGGTGGCCCTGACTTGCCAGTCTTCCTCCCCGTAACTACTCCTGCTGTGGCCAACTTTTAGTTACCAACCGAAGGTCAAGGTCAGCGGGACCGGAAGACGTCTACACTCCACTCCCACAAGTTAGCAGGGGCTGGCTCCAGCACACCCCTGCTCTCAGAGAGAGTTAACATTCTCATAGAAGGCTCTAGAAAGTCCTTAAGAACCAAGGGGATGAGCTTCCCGTCGGCATCGTCTATCACCCCGAGTCCCAACACCTGGACAACCATGGCTAACGGTACTTCCAGGGAGGCTACCATTGTGATAGAGACAAGGTGGATTTGCACCCTGCTTTCTGTCACTGTTAGAACGTGGGCACCTCCCCCCACATTATTGTAAAGTCTTGATAAACATTTTCAGTGGCTACGTAACGCTTTATTCAATAACTTCCCTGTAGTTTGGTTAATCAATCTGCTGTCATTGAGCACGCAAGCTTAGTGTTTCATGGCTTATTACGCGGTGGCCCAGACGATGGCCAAGGCTTGTCTGAGGATGTGGTAAGCATCCAGATCCTGCGACCAGCAGGGCCACGAGGTGTCCAGATGTGGCTGGCGGCCCGCACCCCGGGCCAGCCTCTGACCCTCGATCCCACCCCCTTGTCCCGCCGCCAATTCCAGGGCCTTCACCCCCACCACAGGAACTGTATGGCTTTGGTTCTAAGCGCGAACACACCCCAAAGACAGAAAGATTTCATTCCCACCTTATTTCTCCACTGTGAAAATCCAGGAACAGCCCAAGGGTCCCAAGGCAGGAGATGGTCATGAGGTCATGAAGACCTTGGGTGACATCTGCCAAATGGTATCCAAATGCCCACCACACGACACAGATTGGGAAAACAGGGCCCATAGAGGAAAATGACACGGCCTCTGGGGATGTGGCTGGAATGAGGGGCCAGGCCAGCATCCCTCTGGGCTGCACCACTGGGCCTCCCTCACCCTGTCCCTGGAACACAGCATCAGAGTCCAGGTCACCCGACCCTGCCACGTGCAGGACCCTGCTGGACTCCTGGAGGGCCCTTCCCCGCAAGCTGTGCACACGGGGCCACAGGGAGCAGAGAGGCTCTCCAGCATCAGCTGCACCTGACTCGAGATTCATTGCAACGACAGGTGGCAGCCAGCCTCTGCCAGGAGCTCCAGGGAATGAGCGGACGGGGGCCTACAGGAGTGGGCAGGGCCAGCATCCTAGGGGGCGGGGGCGGGGGGGTAGAGCAGGGTTGGATGCCTCTGAGAAACCCCTGCACCCCAAGCCGACGGCCTGATGCCCATCCCCCCACATCCAGATGCCCGCAAGCATGTGCCATTATTGCACATTGGTGACGACCAGGTCTGGCGCTAGAGGGGCTTCCCCCCAATTACATCTTAATCATTGCCTAATTACTGCCCGTGCCTGTTCTCTGCTGCGATGGTGTGGCAGTAAATCTTGCCGTGTGGCAGTTCACGAGCCACTCGGGATGCAGGAAAGGCAGACCCAGGCTGAGGCGGGGAGAGCGGAGGGCCCCAGGGCAAGCCAGAGAGGCATGGAGGCCAGGCCTGCTGAACTCACTGAGACCTCAGACCCCCATGAGTCTGTCTCTCAGGCAGAGGGACAGTGTGAGCAGTCACCACAGGAGAGGGAGGGGAAGCCTGAGCCCAGGGAAGGAACGGATCACATACAGACACAGCCAGGCCCAGGACAAGCCAGCCCTGCTACCAGGCAACCCGGCCTCCCAGTCAGCCTCCCCTCTTCTCCTCCCCACTGCCCTCATCCCCTGACACCACCCTGTGTGTGGGGTCCACCCGGGGGGGTTTGGCTCCTTCCTCCACCCCAGTGGGTCGCAGAAGGAGGGCCTGGACAGCCAGTCTCCAAGAGGGACAGGAGTCCAGGGGCCTCACCCAGGTAGGGAGGCCGAACGCCCACCTCCCCACACGAACGAGAAGGTTGGCCTTGGGTACCCCTCTCCTGACTCGGGCCACACATCCTAGCAACGACCTCCAACTTAGAATCGTGAACAGAAATAAAAATAAAAATCAAAGTAGTGACGACAAGCCGAAGGTCCTCTGGTTCACTCCGGGAAACACCGACCCCTCCCTCCGCCTCCCAGGGTCTCCCGGATTCCCCGGGCCCCAGCCCCCAGCGGCGCCCTGCGCGGGTCAGGGGCCAGGAGAAACGCAGAAGCTCGGCCCTGCCCGACTTGCTAAACTGGACTCCCCACATCAGCAAGCCACACCCCTCCCCTCCCCTGCCCGCCACATGTGTGTGTGTGTGTGTGCATCAAAGTGTGAGAGGCGCTGCCCACGCCTGCACGCCCGCCCCGAGAAGGCAAACCTGCCCCCGCCGCTCCCTGGGCTGTGCCTGGGCGGCGAGAGCAACAGCCCATGACTAAATGCACTTGAATAAAAAAGGGGAAGAGAAGAAATCTAAGACTCTCCATTCCTCAGAGACAGAAATAGTTCTGTGGCCTCCAGATGGACTGCGCGCACACACGGGGAGGTCTCGCCTTCCCGCCAAACTTCCCCGACGGGATGCTGGCAAAGACTAGTGGAAACCAGAGAGCCTTTCTCTTCGGGGCAGTAAATGAGAGGCTGCGGCTCGTGTAGTCCTTCTGTTATAATTAAGTTGGCCAGAAATTCACCTAAGGATGCTAAATTCCGTACCTGACCCTCTAATTACAGCCAGAAGGGATCAGGAGACAATTACTTTCCAAAATAGTCCTTGGCAGGCCAGAGGCCAGAAGCCGTGTCCCTGGCACCTCTCAAACGGGCCAAGGGAACACACGTGGGGCCACTCCGACCGAGGGCGGCCAGATCCCCTAAAAACCTGCAGGCCAATGTCACAGGGCCTGGCTTCCCGCTAGCTGGGGGCGCCCTCCTCTTCGCCCCCCATAAACCCAGCATGCCTGCCTGGTGACATCGGCCACCGGTCCAATTAAATCCTAACGGGCTAATGAAAACCACCCCTGCCGCCCGCCGAGTGTGCAGAGCACGCAGTAAGTACCTCCTTGGGCAGCTACCGCCGCCGCAGCCACCGCAAGAGCAGAGGCCTTCCTGCCCGCGTCGGGGAAGGCGACACCCTCCAGGCTCCCACTTTTGGCGTCCTTCTTCTCCGTGGCCGTGACCGAGGCGGACGTCTCCATCTCAGCCGCTCATAGTCCCGGGTGATGGCCCTGAAGAGAAACACAGAGACGTTCAGCCACACCAGACCCGGCCGGGAAATGCCGACCCAGATTCGCGGCCGCCGCACGCTGCTAAGGCGTAATTCTCTCATAATTGGGAAGGAGGCTTTAATTAATTTTGAGAATTATTAGTTCTGAGACTCGACTCGTCTGGGCTTTTGAACGACCTCACCGATAAGGTTTGCGTTGCCCTTCTACCCCAGATTTTTAAAAATCTGAGCAACAAGTGCCCACTGGCCGTGACGGCAAGCATGGAGAACTACTTTGAGAAATGAAGTCAGAGGCGGGACCACCAACCGGGAATCACGGGAAAAGAAAAACAGGGTTACAATTCCTTAGTGGTCCTCAGAGAAAAGCCCTCTTATGTTTCTTTAAAGGTTTGTAATGCTTATTTATTCTTGAGAGAGAGACAGAGAGAGAAAGAGCGTGAGCAAGGGAGGGGCAGAGAGAGAGGGAGACGCAGAATCCGAAGCAGGCTCCAGGCTCCGAGCTATCAGCACAGAGCCCGACGCGGGGCTCGAACCCACAGACCACGAGAGCAACGACCTGAGCTGAAGTAGGACACCTCGCTGAGGAGCCCAAGAAAAGCTCTCATTTTCCTGTTCCTTCCCTGCTCACCGGGATCCACCTCTTGTTTACTTGTGTATATGTGCATTCATTCATTCATTCATTCAACAGAATTTTTTACCATTGATGCACTAGCACATACTCAGTCAACGTATTTTTAAGCCCCTATTACGTGTCAGGCATGCTGCCCGGTGCTGAAGGTACAGTCCACCGAGTTTACATTGTACCTGGAAGAGAGATGTTATATGGGCCGGGAGCAAGCAGGCGGGGGAGGTGGAATAAATGTCTATTTAGTTTCAGCTATCGAGAAGTAGTATTAAAAAAGCAAAGTGGAAGGACAGAGCAGGGCGGAGGGACAGAGGGCCGCTGCCTTGCTTCTCTGAGGTTGGAATGTCATGTCATGCCGTGGGCTTCCACGGCAGCCAGGGGGCGGAGGCAGGAGCCACAGACCTGGATGGGCAGAGGCCGGCTTGACAGCGAGGTGAGTGCGGGCCCTGGAGGTTTTGAGCAGGCGGGGTGCATGACAGGACTCTCAGGGTATCGGGGTCACTGGTCACTCTGTTGTTGTGGGGGAAGGAGCACAAGCGGAGTGACCCAGCAAGACGTGATGGGGGTCTGAGGCGGTGACTGCGGAGATCACAGACTTTCTATGGCTTGGACCGGGGAATGCTCTGTCTGCGGCTGAGTCCCGGGTCACATGCAAGTCTTTCACTAATGTGCCTCATCACGTGCAGATATTGCTAATCGAGTGTTTGTTTCGAGTTACCGAATAGAAACAGGAGCCAATCTTCTTAAAAGAAGAGCAGTAGTGTCAAAGATGGCTCATATTTTTGGCTGGTGGCCTGGGTGAACGAACAGTCTTGCTGTTTGCTGGGGTGGAGCCCCACTGGGTGAGAAGCAGGTATGGGGCAGAAAGCAGGAGCTCAGCCTGGGCCATGTTAAGTCGGAGTGCCAACTTAAAGTTAAATCACGCAGAGACTGTTGGATATAGAAGGTCAGAGCTTAGGGGAGAGGGAGAAGCTGGAGATAGGAATATGGCGGCCACCACGCAAGATCTCCAAGAAAGACGATGGAAGCAAAGAAGAGAACGTTCCAGAGTTGAGACAAGGACATTCCAACACATCCAGGAAAAGAAGAAGCCAGCCAAGGAGACTAAGCAGGAACGGCCAGTGGGGGAATGAGGAAGAAACGACCACCAGGAGAGCGTGGGGGTGCCAGAAGCCAACACAGGAGTGAAACAGCTTGAAGAGGGGAACAATCAGCTTCCTCCCAAGCTACTGAGAGATGGAGACCGTGAAGCCTGAGGGCTGATCCGTTTGGGTCGCATGTGGTGACCAGGGTCGCCCGGTGGGAAAAGTAGGAGAAACAGAGGCACAATTTCGTCAGAGAGCTTTGCCGTAAAAGCAAAAACTAACGCAATAGCCAGAGTCCAGAGGTCCGTGGTTGCTGTGTCAGAAAGGAGGCAGGGCCGGTTCGCAGGCCCGTGGGAAGGGAATGTTCTGGTAGGGAGCCCGTGGGTCGCAGCAGGGCAGAGACCAAAGGCAGTGATCGGCTTCATCCCCGGGGGCCTTGAGGTTAAATCCACATCTTCAGATCCAGAATTTCATCCTGTTAGATCCGCACAAAACTCTCCTGTCTAAGTAAACAATGGGAAAAGCCCAGAACGATGGATGTGATGTATCAGAGGCAGTCCGCGGTCCCGCTGGCCTGCCGGGCGAATGGCCCGCGTCCGGGGCCGCCTGGTTTTGTCTGCACACACCGGCCTGTCCTGCTTCCACAATCTTTCAAAACTCCCTGTCAAGAAAACCCAAGGCAGGTGGGGGACAGAGAAATCTCCCTGCAGGTTCTAGTGAGTCACGGGGCCTCCTCTGGCCTTGAGCCTATGTGTGTAATCTGGCTACGTGAGCTGCTGGTCAGCAACACACCCCAGCCCGCACCCGCTTGGCCTTTAAGGCCCCCTCAGCCTCCCGGCCTGCCACCTGAGCTGCACCTTTGGGTCACCTCCCTCCTCTCCATTTTCCTCCAATATCTGATCAGCTGTGATTGCCATCACTTCATCCCCAAAGCACCTCACTGGGCCGGAGCTCTTGGCTTCCAGGTCCAGGGCACCTTCCACGCCACCTCCCGTCCCCCTCCAGGCTGTCCCCTACCCGACAGCCAGGAGCCTTTGCCAAACACACACCTCATGGCATTCCTCCTCTAGCCAACGCCTCGTGGAGCCCCCATGGCCCTTAGGGACAGTCTTCCGTAGTCTCCTCTGCCCACCTGACCTCACCACCCAGCAGATATGACAGGCTCCTGTTCGCCACCAGGCCTCGGCTCAAGCCATACCACCCACCCGCAGTCCTTCACCCCTTCTCTGTGGACCCCTACTCCTCCCTCAAGACGCCGCTCGGATATCAGCTCCTCTGGGAAACCCTCCAATCCCCCCAGTTCTGGTCACTTCTGCTTCGGGATTTGTGCATCAACCCAATGCCCTCATGGTCGTCTCCAGGTCAAGCTGACACAGAGCAAACACGCAGGAATGCCTGGCAGAGAAAACGGACCTCCATGGCAGGAAGCCATAGCTCCTTGAAAGGCAAGTGATCTTGTGAACAGCCTGGCTTTTCCTCCCGAGAAGCTCATGTCAAGGAATACTTAGGTCCAACGTTGAAACACACCTTGAATTTGGAAGCAAGTACAAACATAAAAACAACAGCTGAACAACAAAACGTTAATAAGCATGTGCCGTGTGCCAAACACCTTACCGGAGCCATCTCATTTAATCCTCATGTTTTACGTAGAAAGGAACCAACACTCAGAGAAGTTGAGCCACTAGCCCGAAGGCACACAGTAAGAGGCGGCTGTGCCAAGCCTTGGGCCCAGGCTGTCTGGCCCCAACGCTGTACTCTCAAGCACCACAGGGAGCTGTCCCTTGCGTAAGGCCCCCACAGTGCTGAAGGACTTAGCCCGGAATCCCTTGGGAGGCATAAGGTAACTGTTGAGCCCTTCGGGTACGGGGAGCACTGGCCCGGGAGCCCAGGGGACTCAAGAAGCAAGTTTTGGCCCGGCTTTCGCCCTAATGATATATCCAAGGTAGTGACATTGGTCGATGGGGGTCACCAGTGAAGGGTGGCAAAAGATGAGGCCCTTTCGGGGCTGTGTACAGACACCGTGACTGGGCAGTGATGGTGCGCTTCATGCCTCACGCTTCGCTGAGCTGGGAGCTGGCGAGGCCGTGCGCGAACCCTAAGTGAATTGGGTGTCCTCGCCCTGGGTCTGGATACTCCCCCAGCATGCTGTCCTGGTCATACCCTGCGACACCCCCACCAGGCTTCCTGCTTGACCGTAACCTCATCCAGGGCCCGGGCCTCGCATCCCTAGGTCCCCGGGCCCCGCCGAGCGGACACTCAGAACGCTTGCTGAGGGGTAAGGCAGGCACAGGGGGGCCAGGCCTGCGTCTGGAGGGCACGGGGCTCGGTGGACCAGAGATCGGCGGAGGCCTCAGGGCACCCATGGGGTTCAGCCTGCGCCTGTAACCAAACCCCACAGCCCCAGCCCCAGTGACGGCTGGCAGACCCCTGAGGCATGGACCCTTTCCAAACGCAGACGGGGAGACTGAGGCCAAAAAGTCAGAACCTTCGGATCTCAACCAAAGAAAGCGGCTCAAGAAGGGACTGTGACAATTTCCGTGACAGGACGCGAGGAGGCTGAATGAAGAGCAGGAGAACTGTGGCGGCTGTGGCTCCCTCACACCAGCATCCCGTCCTGTTACGCTGTCCGCATGGTGTCATCAACCCGAGTCTCACAAAGGAGGAAGTGGGCCGCCCGGAGGGAAAAGGGCCAGGGCCCCTGGCAGTCCTGCCGCCTGGAGCCTCGGGCGTGGCCATCACAGGACCAGGGTGAGCAGACCACGGGGAGGAAGGTCGTGTCTTCAGAGTCCCCCCCCCCCTCCCGGACGGCCTTCTGTGGTCCAGGAACAGAGGTCCACACAGAAGCACTGGGCTTCCACAGGCGCCCCCGGGGCGGGGGGTGACCCAGCCAGCAGGAGGGCAGGCAGGGCCCACCGAGCCACAGGGTGTGGCCACATCAGCCGCTGCCCTCCGCTCCCCTCCCCTTCCAGGAGAGGAAGGCAGTAGACAGAGCCGAGAGGCTGCGTAAATCATGGGAATTAGCGGGATTAGCACAATTTCTGGGTAAACACCAGGCGCCCAAGGTCCCAGGCAGCCACTTTCACTCCCCGAAGCTCCTCCAAGCCTCGTCAACAAGCTCACCTGGGTCCCCAGAGGCCAGCTGGGGACAGCTGCGGGGGGCCTGGCGGGGGCGGGAGGGTCCCACACCTCAACTGGGGGCATGATGGTCTGTGCTGGAATCCCACAGGCCCCACAGAAGGGGCTGGGAACACAGCACTCAGA